TTCCCCAGCCAGAACTCGCCGTTCAGGTTGGAAGGGAAGCCGTTCTTGTAGTCCGCCCAGCCCCGGTAGAAGTCCACGGTTCCGTCTCGGCGTCTCTGGAATAACTTTAAAAGCAACAAGAAAACCCGAGATTGAGACTAAATTCTCGACTTGCCGAATTCCCCATGTCAAGCCCTTCAAATTCTGAGACAGTTAACATCTTCTACTTCTACCTGACAATACCCCACCAACGTGCTGCCATCCTACTCTAGTGGCACAGACACACACACTCACGCACAGCTCATCCTCCGAAAACAAAATTTTACACACGAAGGTATAAAAAGATAACCTTTAAACAAAGCTTCTTAATAAAATAAAATAAAATAAAATAAAAATTCTCAATAAAATAAAACTTCTCCGTGAAATAAAAAAAAATTATACCAACAAGTATTTCGCATTGAGAATTATAGTTTTCAGACCAGACTTACCGTCCAGCCGCCTCCGTCCGTGTCCATATCACAGAAGACGTTGAAGCCGCCCAGGTTGTCCCGTGGATAAACCATGTACACGCCGCTGGGCGTGGTCTCGTCATTGTCAAGGATGTCCTGACAGTCTTGGGGCTTGTCGGAGCCTGTGTTGTTGGCTGAGGTACACGGTGTAGTGTACAGTTATTGTAACATACTGGTACGTAGCATAATGTATCTATGCAAATTTATTAAGTGCGAATAGGAGGCGTTAGATCCCTTGTCTTTGACAACACTAACATTATACATGTATGTCATAATTGAGCACAGATCAACTTGTTTACATGTGTTTTTATAGCCTCTAGTATTTATGACAGTTTTTTTTTAGAACCGACAAAACTCTAACATATAGGAATTAAGTCATTTCACAGAGATAACTTGCCTTCATCCCCAGACGTCCTTGTCTGGGAAAGTTGCTCCACGGCAATTTTGAGTTTCTCCAGCTCTGCTCGAAGTGCGTCGTCATTCCCACAATTCACCACCTGATTACACACACATTTCTCGTCTGACGGTGGCCTACAGACCGACTGGGCAGAGCACAGGAACACACACGTCACAAGGAATGTCAGGACACCGGGAAAAGATGACGCCATGGCGGTTAGAGACTTACAGCGAGTGACGAAAACACAGACTAGCTCACAAGGAAGTCTAAAGCAACAACTTGAGGTGTCATTCTACACTATTGTTTTCACCTCTCTGTGGCGTATGCATTTCACTCACTATTATGTTTTCCATAATACAAGGTAGGTGTGAGTTTACCGTTAGACAATTAGACCACACAAAAGGAAAGAGTGTCGATAACATTTCATTCCCACGAAGTTCAGCGGTTTTAATAGTACACGGAATAGGCATGCACTAATGTACATTTCTTCTACAGTACAGGGCAAAAGTTCTATCGTGTGTTTTTGTCGGTACTTCCCCACTTCCGATGCAAGTAACACCCCATAAGGTCTCATACCGCAATTACTCCGCACGTATAGCGCCTAAAAGAGTCCCGACAAAAAAAAAATGATCGTGCCCGAACAGCGTGAGTTTAGGTCCACAATAAAATCCCTTTCATCACTCAGACCTGATCTAAAAAGGATTTGAGGTAAAAGCCTGTTCATTACTGACAGGATCAGGCAGGAAGTTTCGGCGTCCGAGCGATTGTCGGGTGTATACGCTTATTTTGACCTGAGTACTGCGGTCGGACACAGTGAGCCAAAAGAGGGCCTGTTGCGGATCATGGGTAATTGCAGTTATACATGACGTAAATATATCGAACTGGCGGTTAGAATTGGGGAAAAAAAATCGTTTACATGATACGTGTGCTTGGTATAGACAGCAAAAAATCTGTTGATATACGATTTTTTGATTGGATTCACAGCCAAAATAGTGGCCTATTTTAACGTGCAAGTCTACGGGACAGCGAAATTGTAGCCTGGTTTCCAGTCTTACGTGATTGGGGGTATTGGGGGTAATCAGGCAGGTTGTGTCTTCGGGGGCTCTAGTAGCTTCCCCGCCCAGTGCAGCAGACCGTCCCAGTAGGAGAGTTACGCTAATGAGAGACAGACGAGTATGCTTAATTTGGGATTTGGTTTCCCCCAACACGATCAATCTCTCGTGAAATACACACCGGGAAACCTATGTGAGGCGGGCGGGACAGAGCTCTGTCGGCCCCGAAATTGGCGTATGAGACCATAACCCTCTTCCCTCCCCCTTGAATGAGTGAGAGCTTCACTATATAGTATAACACAGGTCCAATTAGCCGTGGCGACTCTTGATTCGGGCTTACATCGCATTACCCTCTGCAAGAGTCGTGGAAAGATCCATTGGCAGAACTGCACATTTCTCGTTGGCTGCTCGATGCTCCGTTTTGACCCGGTTTTTGCTGTCCCG